TCTTTCATTTTCATTGAAATACTTTTCCAAAATTTTTGAATCCATTTAAATCAAATGCTACTATTACAATAATGAAATAAAATATATATTTAATTGTCAATTAATTTTTTATAAATGGATTCAAGTGTACTGGGCATAGGACATTCTTGTTGATCAGATGTGATTATTGAAAATTGATCCAAGTAACTGTCACAAATCAGGGATGATGATTTTTTCCTGTGATATAAGGCAAAAATATTTTGGAAAAGTTGCAAATACACTAGGGCAAAACCCTTAGTTTTTTTAATGATTCATATAAATATGTAAAATAGTATTTTAAATATTATAAAACTCATGCTGATTAATTGCTTCAAAATATTATATTGGAATGCAAGTAGAAAAATATTCAATTCATTCATATAGCAATATTAATTTATTTTTTGTAATTTATTTTTTATCAATTATTTGAAATACTTCTAATTCATCATATTTACTACCATTTACTATATTAATGTTATTATAAGAATTACTATTATTATGGTTAATAGTAATAGTGCTGTCTGTTCTAAAATAAAAATCACAAGCACCACCAAAAATAGCTAAATGAATAGGATGACAGTAAATTGCATATTGATAATTCTTTATAACATAACTAAACTGTGCAGAATTAATATCATTTCTATTACTAATATTAAAAATAAAACTTTCAGTTGTATTTTTAAATATTTTAGCTCCATTATTTAAATTCCAATCAAGTGGATTATAACCTCCTACTAATTGATTTGAATTTTGTATTTTGCCAACTACAAGAGTTTTATTGATATTATCACATTTTTGATGAAAAGCAGCTACACTTAAACCATCTCTACTACCACAATATATAAGTTTAAATTCATATTTAACATCTCCAAATGAATTATATTGTAGACTTTTTTTATCAATCCAACTAGCAAAAAGCAAAGTAAGATTTTGATTGATAGTCAATGATTCAAGTGTTGAATTTAGATTCCTTGATGGTAATAAATTTAATGTTTGTTGTCTATCAGGAATCAAATAATGTTGTAAAAGTGGTTTCCATAAAGTCCTGGGAAAAAGCAGATTATATGGTTCAATTTTATCAAAAAAATCCTCTTTAGAAATATCCTGAAATCTTATTAAAGAAAGAAATTCTTTTAATGTGTTGCCCATATCAATAAAATTTTGTGGTGACCAATCTTCAACATTGATATTATTGA